GCACCGGCTGCCTCCGGCTTTTGTCACTCGAGGTTTGCTCCTGGCAGCGAGCGCTGGGTCCAGCGGGCAGGTCAGGTGCAGGAGGCCGTCGATGGCAGCTCAGGCCTCGTCGTAAATGTCGTTCCGTAGCAGAAGCCTGTTGCAGCGGGGATCTGCCGCTCTCCTGGCTGGCTGTGCAGGTTTTGTGTAAAGGTTTTGTGTAAAGGTTTGCAATCTAAAGCGGTGCGAACCTGTTTAAGTCAGCAACTACATTACCTCTTCCTGCTCTGGCTGCCATTGCAAATAGTGCAAACGATCGTGTCGAAGCTGCTGTATAAGTAGGTGGTAGGTGAAAGGGTCAAGTTCCCAAACTTTGGGATGCAGCTTGTTCCGTTCCCTTAGTTTTCAGAATCTTGATTCAGTTCCCGAGGTCTCTTTTTCCTCTGCTTTATGGCAAGGATTATACGGGCTAGTGGTTTAGGATTATTTCCGTGTCTGATCATACCTGATGATCTCAGAGTGGCTTTATTTGTTGTGTCCTCTGTAGTGCTTTAGTTTGTAATGCGGATTCCTGAAGTATGCTGTAGAGTGGAAAAATTAAGACTCCTGCCTGCATAACGCGGCTGTCACAACCCTCAAAAGTGGGGAGAATAAATTGTCCAACACTATTACGTACACATGAAGTAAGCACAGAAACTGTATCTTCATTCTGCGTAAAGTAGGTGTGCAGCTTGCACCCACTTCCCAATTTTATATTTTATGGAAGGTTATCATGAGAGGCAGACATCCTGGCAAGAAATGCCTTGACTAAGTTGATGCTGAAGGCTCACAGGTGCAGGAGGGTAGGCTTGCTGTTGTACTAGATCACTTAGAATCTTTCAATTTCTGTGAAGCTAGACTGTTTTTAAAAAAATGAAGTATCCTGAGCAAACCATATTCACAGGTCACTTTCAAACACTTGTGAAAAAAGTTATGAGAAAATGTCAGATAGGTATAAAACAGTAACTGTCAGATCACAAGCTGGAAGACCAATTCGTTACAAAAGACTGGAACGTATACCACTTTCTAGGACTTTTCTAGATGCTGCCTCAGGATCAAGTACCACCATAACACAAAAATAAACGACATGGTAATTGAATCTGTCTTCAAAAAAGCCCAGTAGAGTAAAACAGGCTCTGGTTTCCATCATCTGAGATTTTGCGCTCATGGGAGGAAATGAAACTGAAGCCACATGTGATAATTCCTATTTGTGAAAGCCGTGGAGGTTGACATGCGTATGGAAAATTGGACAGCTTTAGGGAGGGTGGAGTAACAGAGGAATGACCATTTCAGTTGACTCTTACCTGTCTGCGGCCAGCTTTCTCCATGTTCCTCTTTTCCACGACGTCCCCCAGCCCTCATTTGCAGGGAGGACTGTGTAGCGTCGGTGTAAGGGGAAATCAATAAAGATGGGCCAGAAGTAGATGCACACAGGGGAACGTAGGAGCAGCGCAAGCATAGAGTGATGCTTCCATAGTGTACTCTCCCTGTTGGTCGTCGTTTGGGGGTCAGAATCTCCCTGAGCAAAGGGTAGTGTTTTAGTTTTAATAACCCTTGTAGTTTTTCTGTGAACTTTTCCAGTTGCCTCTTGAATTCACATAACATTTTAGCATCAACAACATCCTGTGCCAAGCAGTTCCACTGGCTAACTGCATGTTTTGCGAAGAAACCATGGTCTTTCTTCACTCTCTACCTGTATAAGTCTATATCAAATTTACCACTTGGCTCCTTCTGTAGAGCCTTACTATTTGAGAGCTGAGTAAAGTAGCTCTTTCATTCTGAAGATTCAGTAAACTTTTTTTTCTGTATTAATACATTTTCAAGTAAGGCTGAATGTTCTGTTACAGAATGTGTGTTACACATCTCTTTAGAGTCTTGAAGAAAGTAACTGTTTTTGTTCTAGATCTATGCAAATATTTATTTACATATAGAATAGACATAAAAATTGAAAGAATATCTCTAAAGGGGTCTTTATCCTTTGCTTTGTCTGTTGTCCATGCATACATGCTGTTGTTAGTGATATTTATATTCTTTGTCCTTAGTTGTAGGAATAAAGTAACTATTGTTAGACTGAATATTGAAAATCTTAATGCTTTGGAAATACAGCTGTGGTTGTGTTATATTATGTTCCTGAAGTGTTCAGGTTTCTGATCAGAGGAGATTATAGATTAATTAAACTTAGTGTATGAGGTGAATGATGGGATTCAGAGTCAAAGGTTGCGTTACCCTGAGTTACTTGTGTACTGTGCAGACGGATAACATATTTTCCCGTTTTAAATGGCTGAAGTGATGGGACTTCCTCAACTTCACTTAAAGAACACAGAAACATTTTGATATTTCTGTTATTCTCGTTTTCTTTTTACTTGAGTACCTTTTGAGTAATCTCCCTGGGGTGTGTTCAGGCCTTTCCAGTAAGCGCGCCCTCACAAAAAGAGCTGAAGAATATTGTTAGCCAGTAAATACATTTATTAACTTTTTCTGTTTGTTCCTATCTCATCAGATAGCTCAACATGAACTTTAACCGTCAAGATCATTTGAAAAGTGAACAGAACAATATTTTTCCTTCTGAGAGCTGGCTACAGGATTCTGAGTTTCTCTTGCAGTGTTGTCCTATTCACTACCTTTTCCTAAAACAGGACGTGGAGCTATGGTCCTTTCTTCATGTTAGGTGCTAATTAAGTTATTTGCTTCATCAGAGGAAATGCATATCCATGAAATTATGTTTTGTGCAAGTAAGTTAATGAGGGGAATTTTAAACTTCGCTATCACATCATTGTTCTTATGTTTTATTGATACAGCTCCCGGAAGTCCCTTTCAGGATTGAGTTCCAAGTGGTAGAGGTGGTTATTGTTGGAGAACCATTACAATTTAAAGCTCCTGTGCAATTTTATCATGCTCTTGAGCTGCTGCCGTGGTTTTACGGTTAGCAGCATAGTTAAGAAAACGGGTGCCGTGTGCCTTCCATGTGAATTGTCCTGCTGGGAGCACGTGCATGAACTCAAATAGAGATAGGTAAAAGTTTCTAGAACCGCAGGTTTATTTTCTAGAATGCTTCACTCCAGCAAGCTAATCTAGAGCAAGTCCTAAAGTTGTTTTGTTTTCTGTTTTTGTGTCCAGCTGATCAAAGCACTTTGTACGGTAGGGAATTCTATAGTTAAGTGCTGAAATAACAAGCATACCTGATAAAAGCCCAGAGGTATTCAGCAGACTACAGGCAACAGTGGCCTCCGCTGCTGTTATGAATTTGGTGAAAGTCTGATATGCTGTACAAGTAAAATACGAGGGTATTAATTTAGAATTTGTTTAGCTAATGTGATGCATCTCAAAGCAGGTTGAAGTTTGACTGCTGATGAAGCTGAATGTCTTAAACTGAAAATTACAACACATTTTCAATGTTTTCATTATTATATGCCTCTTTCTCTCTGAGTTGTTGTCGTGGTTTAACCCCAGCCGGCAGCTAAGCACCACACAACTGCTCGTTCACTCCCCCCCAGTGGGATGGGGGAGGGAATTGGAAGGGTAAAAGTGAGAAAACTTGTGGGTTGAGATAAAGGCGGTTTAATAGGTAAAGCAAAAGCTGCGCACGCAAGCAAAGCAAAACAAGGAATTCTTTCACTGCTTCCCATGGGCAGGCAGGTGTTCAGCCATCTCCAGGAACGCAGGGCTCCATCACATGTAATGGTTACTTAGGAAGACAGATGCCATGACTTCGAACGTCCCCCCCTTTCTTCTTCTTCCCCAGCTTTATATGCTGAGCATGACGTCATATGATGTGGAATATCCCTCTGGTCAGTTGGGGTCAGCTGTCCTGGCTGTGTCCCCCTCCCAGCTTCTTGTGCCCCCCCAGCCTGCTCGCTGGTGGGGTGGGGTGAGAAGCAGAAAAGGCCTTGACTCTGTGTCAGCACTGCTCAGCAGTGACTAAAACATCCCTGTGTTATCAACATTATTCTCATCCTAAATCCAAAACACAGCACTATACCAGCTACTGTGAAGAAACTTAACTCTGTCCCAGCTGAAACGAGGACAGGAGTTGATCTTTGAAAAACCTGAATATTTATTATTCAGTAAGTATCCTGATGTATATATAACCTTTGGGTAGTGGGAAATAGGGGAGGTGAGAGTTCAGGGAAAAAATAGCTATTTCCTCTCTCTTAAGAAGCAGCAGTGCTATTTTGGGAAAATTTGGATTCCTAACTTTTCCGAATACAGTCCTTCAGTTGCTAATGCTTGTAGAGCACCCTTAATGTCATAGTTTGAAAGGTGCTGTAAACGTGTCAGTATTGCACACGAAAGCATATTTCAGCTGTATTCAGAAATACGTTTTCTTTTGCAGTTTGTGACTGTATGGAACTTGAGTAGCATCATCTGAGGGAGGCAAAAATCTATTTTTTTCATAATCTCTTAAGTGGTAGGTGTAGTATATGGTAGGAGTCTGCAGAGCAGTGCTAAGAGTTGAGGAAGTGTTTGCTTTTGGCTTCATATAAATTCTAGCAGTTCGCCCACTGCTAAGAGGACAAATTTGTGTACTGATACTTAGCAGATAAGTAATCCTTCTTTTAATGCTTGTCTTGCTAAACTTTTGGATGTTTTGATTTAACGTAAGGTTTGAAGAACTTGAAGGTTTTAAAAATGTGTCTTCAGTCTTGAAAGACAGTCTGCAGGCTATGTGTTTATACTGTTAAATGCCTGCTATAAATGTTCTTCTGATTGAGAAACGTTTAAATACACAACTTTTTCTTTTTTAAGTGACTGTATTCCACAAAGCTTTAATTATTATGCTTTGAAAATTAAATACTGTAAAAGCATGTAGGCTTTGCAAGTACCATTTCAACCTGCTCAGTATTTGTGTAATACTGATAGACACTTTTTGCAGATTTAAAGAAAATGGAGACCCAGATAAGAAAAAAGACATTTCATGTTTAAGAAGTTCCGTTGTGAGTTGGGAGAGCTGGATTATATTGCTTGTTGTCCTGATCCTTGATTTCCTATTTGATAGTACGCAAGTTGTGTAAGTCTCTGTTTGTCAGGGTACTTAAGCATGTACTCAGTAACACAGTTTCATGACAGCACATTAATATTATTGTTTGATCAAGAGACCTGGATCACGTTTCCATCTGTCATATCTTTACAGTACACGTTCTTCCTCTCCAGCTATTGTTCTTGTTTGTTTAGACTGTAATTGTCTCACTAAACAAGACGACTCACAGCTTGAAGGGTGCAAGTCCTACAGTAGTACTAAGGCTAAGTAATAGTGTTTCAATCTCCACAGGTATCTCTAGGTGAGGATTTATGGCAGTTCAGATAAAAAATATTTGAAAATGTGACATTGATGTCAGATGTGCTGCTGCTTTGTGGTTCACGTAGACTAGTAGGTCCTATTCAGTTAGGACTCTAATCTGAGTTATAGTTAAATCTTCCCTGTGTCCCATTTTAAGCCTGAGCCCAGCATACAGCTTGGGGAGTTTGATTAATCACAGCTGACTCCGTTGTTTTTGCTTTTACCTTATTTCTGATCCCTCCTGATTTGTGTTTTGTTGTAGGTTGTCGTTAAGTCTATTGGCAATGTCTATGATTTTATCTGCCTCTGTGGTCCGTGTGAGGGATGGACTCCCACTGTCTGCATCTACTGATTATGACCAGAGCACGGGAATGCAAGAATGTAGAAAATATTTTAAAATGCTCTCAAAGAAACTTTCTCAGCTTCCTGATAGATGTACTCTGAAAACTGGGCAGTATAATATAAAGTAAGACTTCTCTTTTATATATTTGTGACATCCTGGGTTGTGTCTGTCTGTTAGTTAAAAAGTTAACAGTTCACATTAGAAATGATTAATCAAATTAAGATTAGTTCTTGGCAGTATTTATGTATCAGAAATTTAAAATTGAGAAATTGTAGAAAGATTTGAAACCTATTCAAACTGTGGTGTAAGTTCTAGTTTGAAATAGACGGTATTTTTATAAATATCAAAGTCCTTGACCTACTAGAAATATTTCTTTAAATTTCAAGGTTGTTTCTTACATGAAAATGACCAGACTTGTTCTTCGTCATGCGTTCAACTAGTATTCATTTGTTTTCTCTTTTTAGTCTACACAAATTTAAAAAAGTACCCAAATACATTCATAACCCAGTATTTCTGAAAACTTGTGGTTAGCATGTTATGGAGTTAGGCCCTTTTATTGTACCTTCAGGATTTCTGTTGACTTCAGAGGAAACATGCCCTAAAAACCAAGCATAACTCAATAATTATTTCACATGACACACAGGGAGTGAGGGAGTGGGAAGGGTGGGAATGATCTTTCTAGTGTGAAGGCAGTGTGTAGTGAAGTCTTGAATGGTTGAATGGAGCCTACCTGTCCTACTGCTCCATCCAGCACTTTCACAACAGTGCTTTTTGTTTTCGCTTCACGCTTTTGTGCTTTGATTTTTTTTTTTAAATAACTATTCCTAAATTTTTTGAGCTAGTCAATTTGATAGTGTACCTGCATGACAACACTGATTAAGTAATAATTCAGAAGATGCTCTTTTTTCCCGTTTGCAGCGTGAAACTTGGATTATCGTGAAATAATTATTTGAATCTATTGTTTACTCAGAATTTTGCTTTATATGTGACCTTTCTCCTTAGTATTGGTAACTAGGTGTACCGGTGTGTAGTTGGTAATTCAGTTGCACTTTAGCTGAGCTAAATTCTGACTCTAATTTAGATATGCTATTTTAAATGAGGTGAGTAATTTCATCCTAACCCCTAGCAGACATGTAGAAGTTACAGTGGTGGAAAGTATACCACCTGCATGATCCTAGGAAGTGCTCAGCCTTCTCCATCTCCCATTGGTATATGTGAGTTTCCAGCATTTCTCAGGATTAGGCCCAGCATGGACTAAATTTTTCCAGTCAGTGTTTTTTTAAAACCTCAGCTGTAGTTGGCTTGTTAACTGATCAGCTTAAAAGAAACTTTTAAGAAGGAGACATAAGGCTTAGTCAGGATGTTTTTTATTACTTTTGTCTTTGATTACTTTTAATACTGTAAGTTATCCATCAAGATTTTGAAGAAATTTGAATGTGTCATGAAAACGTGAACTCTATTTAATGAATTGCCTAAATGCAATAGGAATATGTATATTGAAAACTGTCCCTTTCTAATTTCTTATTTGCCATCTCTGGTCATCCTTGCAACTATCTTTGAAGAATGATGAATCCTGTATTCTACAGAACAGTTTTATTTCCTCACATATTTTAGAAAGAACTGACTGCCCCCCCCCAGTCTGAAGATAATTTTTTGCATTTTTGGGATGCACCAGATCACATACTCTGAAAAAATGAAAAGCTATTACGGGACAAACCTGCTGTGTTTCTGTATCCCAAAAGCTTTATGTTATTCTTCTGTTCCATGTATGTCAGAGTATGTACATATGTATACACACACACATATGTATAACACAGCTTCTCGTATGATTGTACAATGTGGTGCTAAAATAAAACATTGCCTGAAAGTAAATCGTTTTTCTTCTAGAATAGTGTTGGACTTTTCAGTAAACATTAATTCCTTTGCTACCCCTGAGCAGTTTTTGCTTTTCTGATTATAGAATATGAGATCAGACTAGCAAAGCAGCGAGTTACTTGGATTTAAATTTGAAATTTTGAATTTATTTTCTCAATTATAGCTTTATAAGTTCTCTGGGAGTAAGCTATATGATGTTGTGCACTGAAAATTATCCCAGTGTCCTGGCTTTCTGCTTCCTGGATGAGCTTCAGAAAGAGTTCATCACTACCTACAATATGATGAAGACAAATACCGCTGTCAGACCATACTGTTTTATAGAGTTTGGTAAGAATCTGACTTTTTTTTTCCTTGATTCTCACACTAAGACAAATGAGTATTTAAATAGATGTGCAACTTAATGCACACAAACCAAAAATGTCCAAGGCAGTTTATAGCTGTATTTCAGGTGGATTTAGAATCTGATTTAACTCCCGTTAGAGTCAATAAAGAAATACTTCTGTGGGCATTAAATTAAGCTACTAGAGTTTTATCCAAACTTGTTTATAATCTTTCTGTTCATGCCAGTAGGTTTTGGTTTAAGCCTTGTGTGACCAAATCTGGAGTTCATCTTCTAGTTAATAATACTAGGAGTTGTTTGACTTCATACCTGTTGAAATACTTAACCTGTAAAGGCATTGAGCTTCATAAATTTCTCAAGTAAAAGATTGCAATTTCATGTTTGCTCTTAGCTGTGCTGTAATTTTTGTTCAGTACATGAAAGGGAGAGATTTTTATTTGTCATGATAATAGCGAAGCATTTAATTTTCTGTCATGCAAGCTCCATATACAACTAATCTTATATATACCAGATTACAGCTGTTATGGATTCCATTAGTATCTGTTGCTTTAATACTATATGTTAGGCAGTTATTTTAAATATTCTTTTATAAACACATTAGAGCAAAAAGACCTGCAGTTTCAGAAATATGGGGGAAGATATCCCAGTTGGTTAATTCCTGTCTATAATTGAGTCAGGCAATTTTTAACAGTTTCTGTATAACATTGTTGTCTTCCTTATGAAGATTTCTATGAATGCTCTTTTTTTTTTTCCCCATGCATTCTTTGTTCTACTAGTTGTTAAGTTAGAATGTAGGTCTATTACAGTCTTTATATCTGTATAATATGGTATTAATTTTCTCCACCTGAATATTTTGCAAGCATGTTTCACACTCAAGTAAGTTTATACTTGAATGCAGGAGTTAATTTTTTCAGAAGGATATTTACTAAACTAACGGAAAAGCTAGAATAAGACCAGTAAATCTGTTGTATTAGCAATGCATTCAGTCTCATGCAGTGAAAGTCATTAGTTTATTCACAGTTATTAAGTAATTAGATTTCTAGAGCTTGAATTTTTTTTACCGCAGAATTAAACAGCCCATGATATATTAGTCACAAAACAGAAATAGTGTTAAAAATCGAAGATAAATACAAGCATTTCAAACAATATATTTCAGTTTGTGAAGTATGTAGTACGTAAAGCTGCATGGTCTTGGATTATTTAATTTACAAAAGTCCATAAGGATATACCTTTTAATTTTAAATTTTACACAGATAATTTCATTCAGAGGACCAAACAGAGATACAACAACACACGTTCTTTGTCAACAAAGATGAATCTTGCTGACATGCAGACAGAAATCAAACTGAGACCACCTTATCAAATTTCCATGTCAGAACTTGGTTCAGCTAATGGGTTCGCACATTTATCTGTGGCGGAATATAAGGGTACTGGTAAGATATCTGCAGGTAAGTTTCAGACTTTTGTTTTTGTATCCTTAAATAAGACAGATGCAGGGCAGTAGAATTAACCTTTGGGGTTTTTTTTTTCTTTAAAAAAAGCTTTTTCACCCTGATGTTCTTAAAGCATAAAGCTGCCATGACCTTACGTGTATTTTAGTTTAGATGTCTGTTTTGTCCTCTGCTCAAAGTGTGTATCTTCCCAAGACACTGGGAGAGAGAAACGGATCTATTCAATGGACTGCTTTATTGAAGGAAAAAAAAAATCTGCATGAAAATAAGCAAATGAAGATGAGCACTTAACAAGATGATCTTCTTTCTTTTCCTGACCTATTAAGATTTATGAAAATTTTTATTATTTCTGCCCAGTAAGACCCAATGATGACATAAGCTAAGAGCATAGTGTCAGGAGTTAGAGCAGCTGGAGGGAGAAACATCACTTTAGGAAGCATCTGTGATGGTGAAAATCCAAAGACCTGTGCTGGCTGAAAGATGTACTCTCTAAAATAAGTGCCTTGTGTACGGTGTTAATAATAGCAATTTTGTGTATACTTGCCACATTCATTTACGTAGTCATGAATTTTTTAATACTTTCTTTATTTCAGGTAGGAGGTAAATACAGAATTGTGTGGTTGAACCAGGTTAAAGGTTTGTGCTATTAAGTGAATGCTCTGAATCAGTTTGAGGCCCACCGTTGGGTGTTTCCCAGCAGGACAGAAAACTTAAAACTCGCAAAGTCCTTGCACTAATACGTGGACTCCACACGTGAAACTGACATAATCTGATCTCAGTCTTCCAAGTTTAGTGAAGCAAAATCATAAATAGAATAAAAGGAAGTGTTGATTTTAATTAGTTAATATCTTCCCCTTTTTTCCCAAAAGTACCTCTGTCTATAAGGCTAGTTATCCTGGGCAGACGTACACCAATGCCGTTCACTTTACAGTGTCAGGGGGAAAATTGCAATCGTAAATCTAAACACTTCCTACAGTTCTGTAATATAAGACATCAGCTTAATTTTGTTCAGTTTTTATATATATATTAATAGGATCTCTTTGCCAGTATATTGTCCTAATTACTTTACTTACTCGTAAGGATTCCTCTAGAAGATGGGAAACTACTTCCTACTGAAGATGAGAAACAAACAAAATCCCTAGGGTGCCCTATTTGTACTGCTGGGGCCTGATCCTGAGAATTCTAGGTGCTATGAGGCAGTGTAGAAATAGCTTACAATCTCTGTATTTGCAATTTAACAGTATTAGAGATAGATTCTGGAAAATTAATAGAGGAAAAGTGTGCAGATGTTTAAATTGTTTGGAAGAGTGGGATCTTTTAAGCAGCACTGTACGTACCTTTAATCATCTACTGCTTATATGTGTGGGCTGTTTTTAAAGGTGTGTGTAATGCTGTGATACCATTCTTTTGCCACTTTTGATGCTTACATCATTGTTACCTCTTAATGTTCTAGTGTAATCCTGGCTTGTGGAAGAGGTTATAGTGGCAGAAGTGGCAACTGGTTAACTCTGAAAATTGTCTAGATTCAAACTTTCTGCAATTGGAAAAAGAAAAAACAATAAGCATGAGAGAATTTGGCCTGTGTCAAAATTGGCTGTATTTTTGAAGTTTTCCATGTAGTGGAAAATGAGCTTTTTACCACTTTTCTGAGTAAAAGTGTTGGAAGATCATATGGGCCTAAATTAAAATGTGTAAGGACCATTTCCCTTTTTACTATAAAGTAAAATTAAACAATAATTGGCAGATGATCATCCAATTTTTTTTCACCTACCTCTCCACAACTTGTCCTACAGAAGCAGTTCTGTTGCCCTCTTTTCTTTCCATGTCGACTTTCTTCTGTTTTTTTTCCCTCTTTTAGTTACTTTTAACTTTCTTCTTCCTCTGAATTCCATAGATCTCTCTGTTCAGTTATCCGTTTCCTTCCTTGAATTGCTGTAGAAACTCACCATCAAAGGGCTGTACATTGAGAGGTTTGCACTTTGCTCCTTCTTCAGCTCTTCAAATTTTAGATGCTGTTGAATAACAGTGTCTTTTTTAAAAAGTCTGCTAATAGTTTTGTAATTCTTTACATTCATCGCTTCTCTCCACCCTTGAAAAGAACTTTCTCTGGATGTTTGCTACCCACTCAGTTGGCTAGACTTCAAAGTTCCTCCTTTGCTCTAAGGACAAATTCTCACAAAAAGATGTGGTTTGCCTAGTATAATTTCCTGAATATGCTGTCCTGTTAAAAAAAATGACTTGCTACAAGTGAATTAAGTGTGTTAAATCAAGTTGGATAGCGTGCAGAGGTAGGAAGTTAGGTAGACGCAAATCTTGTTTTGTTACACAGAATAGCAGAATTTGATGCGTTAGTTTTGGCTATGCTGATGAAGCATTGTCTCATACTTGCTTATACTTGTAATTGGATATGTATCCAAGGTCTGGTGTCTAGGCCTCTTATATTGTTAAAGTAATTGAAAATAGCAGCCCTATTCCTTTAGCGAAAGTTGTGCCGTGTAGTGAGAAATAGGGGTAATTATTAATGTGTGAAGCAGAAAGTGCGCAGATTATGAATAGAATTTTGCTTCAAAGCTGAATGTAGGTGTTGGCAGGCATTAGAAATAGGGTGACAACATGCTGATGTGTGATGTTTTAGGTATTTTTTTGGTTAGGATAAATTTACTGTTTTCTGAGCTTTTTTTCAATGAAGGAACAGTTCTCAAATCAAAGTTACTTTTTGCCTGATGGTGTACTCGATTTTTTTTTTAATTTTTCTTTTTAAATAAGCGTCCTTATAAGTAGTGCAGTTTCTCATGTCATGCAAATTTCCTATTTTTTTATTTAAATTTCAACATTTTAATTCAGAATGTGTGCTTTATTTGGTCCTTGGCTTGTATTAGAGAGTTTTTTATATGGCAATTATAATCTCTCTAAGATTTATGGATGTACTGACTCAAGGTCAGCTGTCCTTTACCCTGCCTTCTCTGACGCTCCTCCTTCATTCTCTGGTTTTGCCTTTTTTTTTTTTTTTAAATTTAAATGACTCTTGTTGCTTTGATTGTAACACTAAGATTTATTAAGCCCTGGAGACTTTAATGACATCAGTAGCGTTATGCAATGCCCTTTAAAGTTTTGGGTTTGTTTTCGTATCTTAATAAGAGAGAAAAGTCACTGTTTTATTATCCTTCATAGACTGTCTTGATTTAGCTGACACGACTCTTTACTTTTCCCCTCATGGTTCTCAAAGAGGTGTTTTGCCTAGTGTAATGTTTTAAAGTTACCCTGATACATGGGGAAAATGAGATTGCCCGGAGAGCTGTGCATGGAGAGCAGTGAACTAATTTTATCCACCAGTTAGTGAAATGCAATGACTTTTGGCTAAAACCAGTCGCATACACCTTCAGCTTTTTGCCACTCTGTAGACGAGATGGTTTAAAAATCCAAAACAAAACAAGTCGTTACGAGTGACTGAAAAAGAATGGTTTGGTATGCAAATACCGTATCTGACCTTAACTGAGTGATTGCTGGTAGTGTTCCTCTGATATGGACTATGGTTAGAAAAGCAATAAGCTCTGAAAGTTAAACATGAGTTATGCTTTTGTTTAAAAAAAAAACTGATTACACTGTTAAATTCAGCACAAATGAGTTAACTAATTTTGTGTTTTAAGTTATCATGCACTCATAATTACACAGCCCTGTCTGCTTATCAACATGAAATAGCTTTTGTCATTTTTTTTCTTTAGGTTCTGTAACTTCATAAACTGTTTGGAAAGCCTTTTTCCTGGATCTGTGCAATGCAAACAACCAGGATTGACACCCCTCTCTCTATTAATATTACAGTTCATTAACCTCATTGTTCACATCTTTACACTTCGTTGATTTGAACAGAATGATTTAAGTATGGCTCAGTAGTCCTGTTTTCCCAGTGTTGCCTAGACTGTTAAGAGTTTTGCATTGTTTTTTCATATTTGCTTTCTGTTATTAATTATGGAAAGGGGCGATAATGAGGAACATACACAACTGTTATGTACTTGTGACCCTAGCTAAGCCCAAAAGAGTGGATGTGCATGGAAAGAAAGTGTGTTTTAATTTTAATGTGTTTTGTAAGAGACTTCTAAGCACTGTCTGGAAGGTCTGTGTAAGGTTGTAATATAGATACTAGCTTAGTTTCAGAGCTGTCTTTTTACTTGTGTCTTTGGTAGCACTCACTGGCTGTATTTTTTAAGGTAGGGGACTGTAATAGCTTTGCCTCATAGCGTTCCATTCAGCAAACAAGCTACATCAGTCTCAATACCTCTGCTAATGCATTAGTGTTAAAAAAAAAGTGGAGGTTGTGAGAGGAGCTCTTAAGTATGTGACTTACTAGCTGGCTACTAATTGTGGACAAATTTCACTAGCAAATGCATCGTTTGCCATTGATCCACTGGCATATTTGAGCAGCTTTCAGTACCATACTGAATAAACTGAATGTGTTGAGTTAAAGATGAAATATAGTAAGACAATTATATATGCGAATTGAAGGAAAGTACACTTTTTGTTAAACCTTGTGTTGAAATACTTTAAATGTTTCTTCTTTTTAGAAAAAAGATTGACATCTTGTGGTTTGCTTCAGTGATTTCTTCTTGAGCTAGAAGCCACTGAAAAATGAGATTACTATTTTACTAAATTTATAAAGACATTGCTTTAACCTGTGATATCTTTTTTTGATCTTTTGCTTTGCAGCTCCTCATCAACGTCTGGAACCTGTGACTCTGCCAGGGATTGTCTCATTTGTACTTAGTCTGTTATGTGGGGCTTTGAATTTAATTCGTGGCTTTCATGCCATAGAAAGTCTTCTCCAGGTATTGTACATGTTTATGAATTTGAGAGTTACGCATCATAGCAATCATAATATCACATTAGAAGGTGCTTGCTGTATGAACTAAGTCTTGCCAGTTTTATTTTCAGAAATATTGTTTGTGAGGTCAGACCTCTGTTTATGAAACCTATATTGTTTGTGATCTGTGCATCCTCCTTGAGTGTGATGCATTCATTGAGGCTGTGAGTTTCAAAAGCAGTAGAAGGTGGGTGGCCGACTCCTTCCCTAGGTACTTTGGTAGCAGTGAGTATGTGAACATAATGTTCTGTTTTCTAAATTTATGCCAGGATATGAGACATTTAATTTTAATAGATGTTATTTAAAAACACTTGAGAGAAATGATGAACAGCTTTGAAAGTCTGGCCAATTTTTTTGAAAGGTCCACAGAGCAGGTTTTGTAAAATTGTTTTTTAGAAACCGTTTTTAGTTTTTGTTTGTTTTTAATAAACCTTCTTAAGTAGGATGCTTATTTCTCTTTGTGTGCTGAAAGGATCAATGTAAGGGAAACTGTCAACTGATTTCTTCTAACCCTCCCTGCCCCCCCCTCAAAACAACAACACCCTCCTCACCAAACAACCTCCCCACAAACATTTATTTGTTTATGTGAACTCTCTGCTCTGACCCTCCCTATAGCCTTTCGGTTTCTTTCTATTCCATTTCTTGTGCTAGTTGTATTCTCATTGCTGCAATGAAAATAACAGCGGTTAATGATTTCAAGCAATTCAAGCGAATACGCTGGTAGTGCTTGCAAGCACGCACAGAAAGTTCCTGTGTGTTACCACAAAAAAAAAGCCTTACGTAACGTTAAATGGTTCTACTGTTGGGGTGATGGAGGTAGAAACTAAAAACCCTGTGGAAGTTTTCTGAAAGAAAATGGGAATCCCCCTGCTTGGCTAATAGATAATAATCTTTTTATTCAAACGTGTATCTGGACTTTATAACTGCAATGCTTTTGATACCTAATGGATTGTTTAGGGAAGTAATGTAAAGAAGATGACCTGTATTCCAGTTGTCTTACATAATTATTAATATATGTACAGATTTAATAAAGCAGTAATGTTTGAGGTCTCAGCATTTCCTGAAGACTATTGAATAGATGAACAGGGTTAATGAAAGTGTTCCGTGCTAGGTCCTTCTTTTCAGTTGTTTTGGGTTTGTTTTTTAAAGAAAAAACAAGAATGAAATAGTGAACATACGTCTCTACTTTATCCCTAATTAGATTTTTCTGTGTTATGTACAATTCTCTCAGTTCATAAATAGGAATGAATTTAAAGTACACTGTAGTACAAATAGTACTGAACAGATTTCTACTGCTTAGTGTCATGTTTCTAGAACTTGTTTTGTTACCTTTACGCAGCTGATTTTTTAAAAAGGAATGCCAATGTTAGATTAACTTATTTAAATGATGATAGGCCAGCCAATTAATTTTATTCTAGATGTTATTGCATCTGGAGGTAATAGATGGCAGTACAGATGGAAGATACTTTTTAATTTCTGACAAATGAGGCACACTAAAAATCCATTAAAATTTCTCTTAATTTACTTTATTATGGAAAAATCCACAAGGTTTAGGGAGAAATAATCCAAAACATGATTAATGGAACTTCTTCTGAGAAGTCATTCAAAAGCTTCTCTCTGAATTAGTGTTTCTTTTATAATCAGTGTTTTTATTTGGGTGTTAGCAAAACTCTGTTAAGATCTGTAGCTATACTCCAGCAAATATGCAGTGGCACCAAGGCCAAGATTTACATACGGTTTAGGATTGTACTGCATTGTGTAGGTCAGTTTTATGTGCAGACGTACAAACTTTTCCCTAGTCAACACTGTAGATGCAAATGCTTCACACTGAACATGCTCTGAGCAGAAACAAGTTGTGGTTCTGAATGGAACACCTTCTTCTCAAAATGAAATTCACATTCAAGGAAGAACGTTTGCATAAGTACCCATTGTTTTCATGGGAAAGTTTTTGATTGTCGCAGATGTTTGTTGGAAATGCAGTTAGAATAATCACTGAGCATGTAAATTTATTCTGCTCAGCTCTATAGAAACTATAACAACCCGTTTGAATAAGTTAGAAGGAATTTTTTTTTTTTCTCTTTTTAAACACATAGTGGAAAAGTCTATCACTTCAAGTAAATTTTTTCCATCTTTTCCTTTGTTGTGGTTTAACTTCAGCTGGCAACTAAGCACCACACAGCCACTCACTCACTCCCCCCCAGTGGGGTGGGGGAGAGAATTGGAAGGGTAAAAGTGAGAAAACTCATGATAAAGTGATAAAGTGAGAAAACTTTGAGATAAAGACAGTTTAACAGGTAAAGCAAAAGCCGTGTGTGCAAGCAAAGCAAAACAAGGAATTCATTCACTCCTTCCCATGGGCAGGCAGGTGTTCAGCCATCTCCAGGAAAGCAGGGCTCCATCACGCGTAACGGTTACTTGGGAAGACAAGCGTCATCACTCCGAACGTCCCCCCTTCCTTCTTCTTCCCCCAGCTTTATATGCTGAGCATGACGTCATATGGTGTGGAATATCCCTCTGGTCAGTTGGGGTCAGCTGTCCCGGCTGTGTCCCCTCCCAGCTTCTTGTGCCCCCCCAGCCTCCTCGCTGGTGGGGTGGGGTGAGAGGCAGAAAAGGCCTTGACTCTGTGTCAGCACTGCTCAGCAATAATGAAAACATCCCTGTGTTATCAACGCTGTTGCCAGCACAAATCCAAAACATAGCCCCATACTAGTTACTGTGAAGAAAATTAAATCTATCCTAGCCAAAACCAGCACATCGTTCAGGAAAACTTAAGTTTTCCAATAATCTCTCTCTGATAAATTCATGTGCTTTTGTTTTTTCTCACTGCCATGAACGCGGAGCTGCCTGCCTTATTCTCTGTAGGATTTTACCACACCCTAGTGGTCAGTTTGTGTCTTTTCCTTTTATCTCTTTTCCATTTTGTGAAGCTGGAGGAAGGCACAATTCTACAAAGTTGATATTGGTTACCAGTGTTTAGACTTGAATTTTCGAAGGCATCTGGAGAAGGTAAGTATCCAGCGTTAGAGCTGGACTTTCTTTAAGGCTTTTGAAAATCTCAGTGTTAGTTGTCCGTTGTGAATAAACGTTTTGGTCAGATTCCAGGTCACGGTGGTTTTTTTCCAGACATATAAGTAAGCAATGATTAGTGCTAACTCTTTTGGTTTAGCGTAGTGTAGGAATTATTATAACTCTCAATGCGAGACTATTTTAACATACAATAATTAATAAGTTTCATATCGTAAATACCTGGTATTTCACAGAAACATTGTAAAACATGGCTTTTTGTTTTATTTTCACAGAACGAAGGTGAAGATTTCAGCTATGTTATTGCATTTTTTCTTGGAACAGCAGCCTGTTTGTACCAGGTATGTTCTTCTGCTTGCATAATTCACTAGAGTTTAGAAACATTACCCAGTCATGCATAAATGTCATCATGTTTTCTTAAATGTGCCAGATACTTGAATAGGGCGATTATAAAAATAATTTCTGCTCTGTTTTATTTCATTAATCATAAACTGTCATACAGTAGAATGATACGAAGAGCTTCTGTTTGCTGGCATTTTTCTCCAGTTAGTTGAGTAAGAGATTTGGTGTGCTTTTCTGTCTGGAGCTTACAATTTATCTCTAAAGTCACAAGCAGTGGAGGTTATGTAAGTTCCTTAAAGTAGTAGTTTCATAGTTCAAGTAAACTTAACCATCTGAACAAATGCCTTACTGCTTCTTTCCTTTGGGAAGATTTGAAGTAAATACAGTAATACCTAGGCACTACACCCCAGAATTTTCCTCACTTTGTACATTATCGTGCATCTCCTTCCTTTTTAAAGCTTTCAGCCACTTTCTACTATGTTTTCCTTCTCCTGTCTGATATTTCACGTTGCATTTCATGTCTGTAGGTTTTCCATTTGTGCATCTGAATTTGACTTTCCTATATAATTTGTAGCAAGGTATTCTGGTGCCCATTGGCATTTGTCATTCAGTGACACTGCTGTTACGTTTAGCTATGACTATAATGTCTGTCATGCTCAATTGCTGTTATTATAATTCTTTTGACTTTTAATCTCTTGCACTTGTGGAGTATGCAGTTTCTACTTGTTTCCATGTGCCAATGTTGAGTACAGTGTCAGACCATAAAATAAAATCTCAGGATTTTCCTTTAACATCAGCCTTTCTATCAGTCAGCCTTTTGTCCAGGTTACCTGTAGTCTCCATTCTCTATAACTTATCTCTAGCAAAATGTCACGGTACAACTTGTGGTGTTCACCACTTGTTGACTTTTCATCAGCTTCTGCCTTAAATAATTCTTCAGATTGGTGTTAATTTTCCATGCCAACAATCTGTTCCATATCAGATAGGGTGGAGCTCCTCCATTCTTTTTTTGTGTGAAAAATACACGTTCTTACCTCCTCTCCCAAATTAGAAACCTTATTCTGTATAAAGTATTCATGTCTGTGCATTGAGACATAAGGACATATGTCTTTCCCCCACTGTCTGACTTGAATAGAGCTGTTTTAAAGAAGGAATCCGTGCAGCTTGGAATCATAGAATCATAGAATCATAGAATCATTAAGGTTGGAAGAGACCTCCAAGATCATCGAGTCCAACCGTCAACCCAACACCACCATGCCCACTAAACCATGTCCCTAAGCGCCTCATCTACCCGTCTTTTAAATACTTCCAGGGAT